GCAGGTACCATGTCTGGCATGATTTCTTTGTCCAATGTGCCTATCTTTGCATTATGTGACACTGGAGCTACTCATTCCTTTGTCTCTTCTCGATGCTTGGATGCCCTGTCTATTGATAATGTGTGCAACTGTGACCCTCTCGAGGTTAGTTTAGCCTCGGGAAAGATTATTATTTCCGATTCTATGATTTCCAGTCTTCCACTCAGTATTGGTGGACGTGTTTTGGAGGCCGATTGTTATGTGATTGAAATGCGGGACTTCGATGTTATCTTGGGCATGGACTGGCTCACTCGCTATCGAGCCGATATCCGGTGCCAGGAGCGCGAAGTCAGTCTCTTCCCCGTTCCCGATCAGCCTGTTATTTTCTATGGGGTGAAGTCGAGGACTGTGCCTCGAGTCATCTCTTCGATGCAAGCTAGGAAGAGCCTTTCTAAGGGTAGCTGTCAAGGTTATCGGGTTTCTATGATATCCGAGGACGATTCTGAAAGGTCCCTGGATAGAGTCTCTATTGTCTGCGAATATCTTGATGTCTTCCCGGATGAATTGCCCGGAGGACCGCCCGACCGCCAAGTGGAGTTTACCATTGATCTAGTACCAGGAGCCGGCCCTGTTTCTAAGGCTCCTTATCGTATGGCGCCGAAGGAGCTTCAAGAGCTCAAGGCCCAGATCCAGGAGTTGCTCAATCTTGGTTTCATTCGTCCGAGTGTTTCGCCGTGGGGAGCGCCCGTCCTTTTCGTGAAGAAGAAAGACGGATCGATGCGCATGTGTATTGACTATCGGGAGTTGAATGCCCTTACAGTCAAGAACAAGTATCCCCTTCCTCGCATTGAGGATCTCTTCGACCAGTTGAGAGGAGCCACTGTATTTTCGAAGATCGACTTGCGTTCTGGCTATCATCAGCTGAAGATCCGGGAGTCGGATATTTCTAAAACTGCCTTCCATACCCGATATGGCCACTATGAGTTCGTAGTCATGCCGTTCGGACTCAGCAATGCCCCGGCCGTTTTTATGGACCTTATGAATAGGGTCTTTCATCCCTTCCTGGACCAGTTTGTTATCGTGTTCATCGACGACATCTTGGTTTACTCTCCGAGCATCGACCAGCATAAGGAGAATCTGAGGATTGTGCTGGAGACTCTTCGCCGCGAGAAGCTGTATGCTAAGTTCTCGAAGTGCGAGTTTTGGGTGGATCGTGTGGCATTCCTTGGCCACATTGTGACTGCGAGAGGCATTGAGGTGGATCCCAGCAAGATCGAGGCAGTGAGCAAGTGGGATACGCCAAGAAGTGCTGCTGATGTT